AAAATATTTATACATTCTGTTACAATATATTGCTTTTGCCCTCAGTAACTGCCAATATAAAATCTGGATCCAGTGGCCTAAAATGTACAAATGCACTTAATGTAAATGCTGGAGTTTGAGGTGTCTGCTTGGCCACTGTACAAAAGTGATGAAGTGGTGCAATTAAATAATATGCCTACAACACAGAATACATTACAACTTGTACATATACATGTTCACAGCATGTATACAATGATAATCTCTGTTTTAACAAACAGCTCCCTTCTACAGCAGACACAGGAACAGGATGACTGGGTTGCTAAGTGAAGACTGTCTGTCAGTAAAGGGTTAACCAGGTTCACTGATCCGGGAAGATCTGACTGAGCAGCCTCCTTGGTGTCTAGACTTTGGGAATGCAGATAGCACAGTATATTGGTTCCAGCTGGTATACAATGATAATCTCTGTTTTAACAAACAGCTCCCTTCTACAGCAGACACAGGAACAGGATGACTGGGTTGCTAAGTGAAGACTGTCTGTCAGTAAAGGGTTAACCAGGTTCACTGATCCGGGAAGATCTGACTGAGCAGCCTCCTTGGTGTCTAGACTTTGGGAATGCAGATAGCACAGTATATTGGTTCCAGCTGATGAGAAGTCCTCAATCTTAATATTGTAAGTAAATGCTGATGTTCCTATTTTTTCAGCACTGTTTTATAAAAACACAGTTTGGCAGGTAGCTCCGCTGGAAGGCTGTGAGGCTCTGTTACACGGCTGGTAAAGATAAGGCAATAAAAAGTGTTCTCCTGATAAATAAAGTTATAAAACTAGACATCAATTCATTGTTTTTTTTAAAAATGAAGTAATCAAAGGTGTACAAACTGCCACTCCATTTTTTCATATTATGGTGATTTCTTTAAAAAATTGAGAGAGAGAGAGAGAGAGAGACAGAGAGACAGAGAGAGAGAGAGAGAGCATATTTGCCTAGTCAACAAAGTCACACTTTGTGAACAACAATAATAGCATTCTAAGCCCTGTTTTTTTTCTTTTTGTGAGACAGTTAAGTAATTAATCTTCCTTCCATTTAGGTCAGTCATATGGCAGAGATGAGGACTACAAAAGAGTGGCTCTTCTTTTTAAAACAGAGTGTTGATCAAAAAGCATTTCTGTGATGGATTTTCATGGTTCATGTTTATTCAGCCTCAATTCCAAGGAACTGCCCTCCAGTGTTCAGATTTGTATTGAGAACATTGAGAAGAAGGCATTAATAGTACTTTCAAACACATCTTCATGTGTTCTTAAAAAACTCAGAAGCTACTGGTGGCACAGGGAGCAGATGAAGGGTTTCAAGAGGTCTTCTTATAAGTCAGTCTGCTTAGTTTCACAGTGTCCAGTAACTTAACACCAATCAGCAATGTAGTCAAAATCTCTGAACATTTCCTGCTCCTCTTCTGAAAGTATCCTTGGCTCCCGAGGTGGAGTTAGAATAGGTGCTTCTGAGGTAAATTCATCATCAAAGTTACTAACATCTTCTCGTCCTCTGATGGTAGGTACAAATGGTGGCTTTACTTTTTTGTCCATCAGAGCACTCCAGTCAATTAGCTGGATCACAAAATATAAAAGAACAAGTTAGTTTTCTACTTTTAATCACTCAAGTTTCATAACAAAATCTAAACTTATCTTTGGTCTTTTTGAGACAGGGTCTCCTTGTAGCCCCCAGTTGGCCTGGCACTCGCTATGTAGACCAGGCCTGCCTCTGTCTCCCAAGGGCTGAGATTATAAGCATGAGCCACTAACGCCCAGCTCAAAATCTAAACTTTTATACTTACCCGAAAGAATGGGTGCTTCTTTACATCCTCTGCATCGTTCTCACCAGCTCCCAGGCGCCGCTCGGGATTTCTTCTCAACAGCTGGCAAAATATAATGTGAGAAAATTAAAATAAAACCAATAAAATAAGCTTCACTGATAATGCTTCTCACAGTTTTCAGAGATTTAGATTTTTTAAAATTTAGATTTGTCTAAAGCACACATCTATGAATTAAAAAACAACTCCTAAAGTTCTAACGGAAAATCCCTTCAATATAAAGAATTTGGGGCTGGAGAGATGGCTTAGCAGTTAAGGGCACTAACTGTTCTTGCAGAGGACTTTGGTTCGATGCCCAGCACCCACACAGCAGCTAAGAACCGTCTGTAACTTCAATTCCAGGGGACCTTCTGACATCTACGAATACTGCATGACATGGGTGCATTTACACACATGCAAGCAATAACACACATACACATAAACTTAAAATAATTCATTTCTTTTAAAAAGAATTTAAGCTTTTCTTTTTAAAAGATTCTTGTTACTAATTTCTTACCCTTCTCATTATGGAAATGGCTTCTGTAGATAAGAACCTTGGATATCTTACTTCATCATTTACAATACTGTCAAAAACTTCCTCTTCATCGTCACCAGGAAAGGGAGACTAGAAGAAATATTTTTGAGTAAGTTGCAATAAGTCCTAAGATAATAAAAAAACCATATATTCAACGTACTACCAAGATTCAGGCAATGCAAATGAAATGAAACAAAACGAGAGTTGGGGATGTAGTTCAGCTATAGACTGCTCACTTAACATGTATGAGGCCGTGCATTCAATTCCCAGCGTTACACAAAACCAGGCATGGCACTACATGCCAGAAATACTAGTACTTTTAAGACAGGGACAGAAGGACCTGAAGTTCAAGGCTAGCCTTAGTTGCACAGTGAATTTAACGTAGCCTATGCTACAGGAGATGCTGTCTCTGGGTTACATGAGATCGTGTATTAAAGAACAAACAAGTGACTATCAGAAGCCCCAACTGTGAGCTGGGTGTGGTAGCTTGTATCTATCATCCCAGAACTTTGGAGGCTGAAGTAGGAGCACAGATGGTTCCAGGTCAGCCTGAGCTACAAAATGAGACCCTGTGAACCCTTCTCAAAAAACAAACAAACAAACAAACAAACAAACAAACAAACAAACAAACAAAACGGAGTGGGGCAGGGGTGGAACAGGGTGGTCCCAATGGTTACATATCTACTACCTACAGGAAATACTATTCTTATACAAATCTCTACATTTTATACAGGCCCTATAAAAATGTGGTCATATAATATTTTAAGTCAATTTGATTTTACTCTATTTTCTTTCATTCACTTATTTTACTATAGGGCCTGGGAGTCAATATTTTAAGAATCTATTGGCCAACTGGAAAGATTCAAATAAGACATAATCCACAAGAAGCTCATTCATGGTAAATATGGTAAATAAGTTACAACATAGGGAGCAGAGTCTAGAAATACATCAGGAATCAATGTGCTTTGGATTTCAAAGTCAACAGCAAATGGATGGGTAACTCAGAGACTAGGAAGGCATAACAACTGCAGTGAAAAACAGTTGCCCCAAAAATTACACCAGAAGAATTTTAAAGGTTCATGTTTCTAAGCACAACTTAGGCTCTAACCACAGGGCATTTTAGTAAGCACAATATTAAAATTATTGCTCATAATGACCAAGTTGTTACCCTGCCAGGTGTGGTGGTGCATGCTTTTGATCCTAGCACTTGGGAAGCAGAGGCAGAGGCAGAGGCAGGCAGATCTCTGTAAGTTCAAGGCCAGCCTGGTCTACATAGTAAGTTCCAGGTCAGTTGGGGCTACAAGGAAACCCTGGCAAAAAAAAAAAAAAAAAAAAAAAAAAAAAGTTGTTACATTATAGCCAGTATGACAATTTGATTCATAAAGGGATACATTCTGAACCATGTTAAAAATGTGGCAATCCAATTATGACTATTCTTTCAGAATTTCTGATGGCTCAGACTTCTACTCAGTAGTTTCCCAAATCAGGTAATATCTACATGTCATTTAATACTTTTAAATAACTGAAATGCACCAGATAGATCACTGACCCTATTTCTCAGCAGTTATTGGAGAAGCTTACTTAGCGTTTGGTTTAATTTGGCTGGTAGCTTCTTATAAGTTATTAAAGAATAAAAGCCAAAGAAAAAGCCCAATCAATGGAAAGGGAAGAATGTAACAGTCTGAGGAATTTGAAAACAGATTCAGAACTTTTCTAAGGCTGAGTTCAAAATCTTCTCATAACTAAGAAAATTTCAAACCTTTTAGTTACTAACACATTAGCGTGTTCATTTACTCAATAAAATATATGAATCAAATAAATACAGCGAATTCTACTTCATACTCTACTTCATAAGACTTCTCAATTACAATTTCAAGTGGCAATACAGAGAGATATTTTGTCTTCCATTTGATAATTTGGGACTGAAAAACTGTCACTCTACATGTTTCTTCAACAGGAAAGAAATCTACATATTATGTATAATCTACACATATATTAATGTTAAAGCACTTTGTTTCTGTCAGCAGGTTGTGAAGTTACAAGTGGGCTAACTATGGAAGGTAACAAGCTTGTTTCAAGCACATATAAAAAGACCCAATAGTCTGGCCCTCTTCTGTCCTCCGTGGGCATTGCACGACATAAGTGTACTTACAAACATGCAGGCAATACACACATACACATTAAAAAAAAAAAAAGACCCAATGGTCTGTTCAGCTGTCAGTGTTCACAGCTCCCAACACCACCGTCCACTGCTCCTTTAAACTGTTCTAGCACACTCATTCTCATTTGGCACAGGGAAACCAGGACCTGGCATGTTAGCTTATTTCTGGCTGGAGTCTTTCCAGTACTCAAAACTGTTAGCATACCGATTTGAAAACCTATCACACATCTGATGAATTTTCAATAATAATTGTAACAATATAAATATTATGTAATAAATATATTTATATAACATCATGTAATAACAGAGAAAACAGACATAGACTTTAGACAACTACACTTTCAACATAGTTACAAAAAAGTTATCAGCGAAAATTCACTAATGCTATAAAATTATAAGGTAGATTGATGGGTTTAAGTTTAGTTCCTTTCCCAACTACTTCTTATGGAGGCACTAAAGATAAATGAAATTGCAAAAAGCAACCATAATGTAACAGCAGAGTTCATTGCTTTTTACCTCCTATTTGTTCAAACACTAAATAAATTAGAAGTTCTTTTAAAAAAAATAATGAAGGTTCTTTTAAAAATAAGATGGTTCAGTGATTAAGAGCACTGGCTGCTCTTGCAGAGGACCCAGGTTTGAGTCCCAGCATCCACATGGCTCAGAACCATCTGTAACTTTAGTTCCAGAGGAATCTGACGCCCTCTCCTGGCCTCCACAGGCATTTTACTTAAGGGTGCACTTAAATACATGCAGGAAAAACACTCATACACACAAAATAAAAATACATTAAAAAAATTTTATTTATTATTTTTATTTTATGTGTATGCGTGTATTGCCTGCATGTAGGTAAGTGCACCCGTGTCATGTAGTGCCCTCAGAGGTCAGAAGAGGCTGTCGGATCCCCTGGGACTGGAGTTAGGGACGGTTGTTAGCTGCCGTGCGGGTGCTGGGATTCAAACCCGGGTCTTCTGCAAGAACAGCCAGTGCTCTTAACTGCTGAGCCATCTCTCTATCCCCTAAATACATTCTTGAAAATTAAAAAGAAACAAAAACTACGAAGCAGGAGCTTCCTCATTTGTTCTTTAAAGCAGTGACTTAAATGAAAGTGGAATCAATAGGTTATTCTGTAAGATTTTACAACAAACTAATTTTTGCATGTTATCTCTAACATAGGAAGAAAAGTTTAAGAAAGTACATAATTTCAGATCAGATTTAGCTCTTAAATTTACTTGAACACTACATTTAAAAATAAGGTTAAAAAGCCAGGTGTGCTGGTGCATGCCTTTAATCCCATCACTCGGAGGCAGAGGCAGGTGAATCTCTGTGAGTTCAAGGCCAGGCTGGGGGTTATAGGGAGACTTGGTCTCAAAAAGACCAAAAAAGGGCAAAGAAAATATAACTTTTAAAAAATGGAGTGGGCACAGAGCTCAGGCATGGCACAACCTGGACTATTAAGAGTGGTCTTCTGGGGGCTGGAAAGATGGCTCAGCGGTTAAGAGGACTGATTACTCTTGCAGAGGGACCCAGGTTCGATTCCCAGCACCCACATGGCGGTTATGACCCATCCTTAACTCCAGTTCCAGGAGAATCCGAAGCCCTCTTCTGACCTCTGCGGCACTGCATGACACTGGTGCACTCACATACATGCAGACAATAAACTCATACACATAAAATAAAAATAATAAATAAAACATTAAAAAAAGAATGGTCTTCTGGCATCCTCAGAAAGGAAAGACCACTGTGTACAGCACAGCTACACTTTCTATCTCAAATACCATACAGACTTCTAAACAGAGGTGGAAAATTCCAATCAGAACCATTCTTAGGAATATAAATGAGGGTGGATGAATTTAACATCTTATCCTAAGGTGGAAAGCATATGGTTTAGAAGTAGGTTCTAAAGCTAAAAATGACAAAAATGAAAAATTCCAACCCTACAACACAGGTGCTATGTGACATGTTATTAATCTCTTTTATTTCTATACCTACACATCTGAATACAAGTAGAAGACTAGGCATTTATTAAGGGTTGCTGAAATAAAAAGCATAAAAGAGCTAATATTTATAAAGCACATAGAACAAAGCCTAGCACATGGTAAAATGCTCTTTTCAGTAGTCATTTGTTCCCTCCTTTCCCAGAGAATCCACTCCCATTTGATATTCCAAAAGGGGTTGCCCATTAGGAGAAAACTATTGTTTGTTCTGATTAAATGCCAGTAAATAACACATAGACCAAAACTTCAGAAATGGCTGACACTCAAGAATGTGTTCACTGACTTTTTCAGCTGCTAAACAATTCATAATTGAAATGTATAATATAAGGAAGGTTACTGGCAATGGGAAAACTCCAGAATGAATCAGTACCATAAAAAAAGTTTTCTTAGGGCCTGGCATGGTAGCGCACGCCTTTAATTCCAGCACTCGGGAGTCAGAGGCAGGCGGATCTCTGTGAGTTCAAGGCCAGCCTGGTCTACATAGTAGGTTCCAGGACAGCTGGGGCTACAGAGAGACCCTGTCTCAGAAAGACTGAAAAAAGTTTTCTTGCATCTCCAGACAA